CAATTTATGCAAATTTTTCTGACGTCACCATGACGTCATCCGGAGTCATGAGCCACGCCCACTTTTTAGAAAAATGAATTTTCCTGGCCAGTGCTTTGGTTTTCATTGACCATATTTTGTAGAGAGGCACACTATAGTAATAGCAAAAAACGTACGCCAGGATTTTTTTGCTATCTTTAGATTTTGATTTTTAATGAATTTTTTGGTAAATTTTAACAGTGCCATTCACCGGTTTCCCATCCCCAGAATGCAACGCGAAAATAGGGGGGGTGACCCTCATTTGCATAGGACTGGAAGGCATCGGAATGATCCTCGTGACGTTAAACAGCTTGCTTTTCACTGTGTTTTGAGGTGTTGGGTCATTTTATGCTCAACATTAATTAAATCACTATGGGCCGAATCTGACAGCAAATAGAGAATTAAGTTTTTGTGTTCTTTTCAACATGGAACATGTGGTTTGTAACGTTACAGCATCATATAGCGTTACCACGTTACAAACAATTCATTCCAAAAAATTCATTCTCTATTTGTTGTCAGATTCAACCCATAGTAATCTAATTAATGTTGAGCATAAAATGCCCCAACACCTCAAAACACAGTGAAAAACAAGCTGTTTAACGTCAACGGGATCATTCCGATGCCTTCCAGTCCTATGCAAATGAGGGTTACCCCCCTATTTTCGCATTGCATTCTGGAGATCATGGGAAACTGGTGAATACGCCTATTGTGTTTTGGGTGGCAGAATGCCACAGTTCACATTCTGCTGTCAAACGAAACGTTCGTTTCCCAGTCCCTGCCCGACTGTGTGACGCCTGTCCCCGTTTCTCCCAGCTCTCCCAGGAAATCAATCAACAGGCTTTATCCGACAGCTGTTTAGCATCTAGGTCATTTGTTCCCTAAAGCCCTTCAATAAATTTCATTAAGTCTTCTTGATACGCAAAAAGGAACAGTACACATATATCGCCCGGGAGCAGTCATCAATCAAATTCAAAACGTTTATAAACAAAAAAGAAAACTAGCACAGAAGAAAACGATGTGCTAATGCTATTCTTATCTTCCGTGACAAAATGATTTTATAAAACGGTGTAGTCGATTTGAGTGTTGAATGTAGGGGACGAAATTACTAGCTTGTTGTGCAATGTTGTATTATGTTGTATTATGACAAGATAAAAGAAAACTAGCACAGAAAAAAACGATGTGCTATTCTTATCTTCCCAGACAAACTTATTCTATAAAACGTTGTATTCGATTTGAGTGTTGAATGTAGGAGACCCAATTGCTTGTAGTCCAATGGTATATTATGTTGTATTATGATAAGATCAATCAAATTCAAAACGTTTATATAAAAAAAAAACTAGCACAGTAAAAAACGTTGTGCTATTCTTATCTTCCGAGACAAAGTGATTCTATAAAACCTTGTATTCGATTTGACTGTAGGAGACGCAATTGCTTGTAGTCCAATGGTATATTATGTTGTATTATGATAAGATCAATCAAATTCAAAACGTTTATATAAAAAAAAAACTAGCACAGTAAAAAACGTTGTGCTATTCTTATCTTCCGAGACAAAGTGATTCTATAAAACCTTGTATTCGATTTGACTGTAGGAGACGCAATTGCTTGTTGTGCAATGGTATATTATGTTGTATTATGACAAGATCAATCAAATTCAAAACGTTTATATAAAAAAAAACTAGCACAGTAAAAAACGATGTGCTATTCTTATCTTCCGAGACAAAGTGATTCTATAAAATGTTGTATTCGATTTGAGTGTTGGGTGTAGGAGACGCAATTGCTTGTTGTGCAATGTTATATTATGTTGTATTATGACAAGATCAATCAAATTCAAAACGTTTATAACAAAACTAGCACAGTAAAAAAACGTTGTGCTATTCTTATTATAGTCCGAGGCAAAGTGATTCTATATAAAACGTTGTATTCGACTTGAGTGTTGAGTGTAGGAGACACAATTGCCTGTTGTGCAATGGTATATTATGTTGTATTATGACAAGATCAATCAAATTCAAAACGTTTATAAGAAAACTAGCACAGAAAAAACGTTGTGCTATTCTTATTATAGTCCGAGGCAAAGTGATTCTATAAAGCGTTGTATTCGATTTGAGTGTTGGGTGTAGGGGACGCAATTGCCTGTTGTGCAATGTTATATTATGCTGTATTATGGCGAGATCAATCAAATTCAAAACGTTTACACAAAAATGGTAACTAACACTAAAAAATGTGCATTTCGAATTCGTATCTTCCCAGACAAGTGTAAAGTGATTGTATAAGACGTTGCGTTCGAATAGAGCTTCTGGTGTATGTTATGGTGTGTGTAGGGTACGCAATATTTAGCTTGTTATTCAATGTTATATTATGCTGTGTTATGAATGATATCGCTGGTATACATGGAGGATCTTTTTGCGTTACCTTGGGGGCAAATTACTATAATTCCTCTTGATGTAGTACCGGAACATCTGATAAAGAGACAGCGATTTAACTGATAACTCATCTCCTGTGTATTCTATCTAACACGGTAAGTTATTACTAACTGTTCGTCTCTCTATTTTGATTAGGCCACAGCAAGTAAGTTGTATGGATGACATCAGCACGCGCATTAATTTTCGCCTGATTTTGAAAAGCCTTCTGACAGTGGTCAACATGCTGAGAATGGACAAAGATGCCTGTTACCATGCCGCGGAAGGTGGATGGTGGATAACTATGAAGAGAGGAGACAAGAAAAGGCTCTGATTTAATGTTTTGTTTCTTACTTTGATGCAGTGCTATGTGATGTTGGCTGTGTATATGTGATGTTCCCACTGAATCAAAACCATTTGTACAATGATTGAGTCAAAATTTTAAAATGTAGGAGCCACAATGTTTTTTTCGGCCCGCCTTGTTTTTTTTCGGCCGCTCGCATTAGATTTGGAGTCTGAGGAGGATGTCATCCATAAAATTTACTTGCTGTGGCCTTAGGAGAATCGCAGCCGTTGTTAGACAATTAGCAACGGAACGCTTTGCTATAAACGTATTTTTTATGATAAATACATATCACATCAGTATGGTTTTTATTGGTTTAATCTGGTTCATAATTCCGAATATAGATAAACAATGATAAAATAGCCCATTAATCAATCAATAAATCAATCAATATGTAGTGGAGGTCATACATGTATATCACTCTTCTTTATGGAAAACATAATATTGTTACCGTGAACCGTTACCAAAAAATATCTTACAATATTCCACAGACAGTGCACATGATCAAGTTATCAATCAAATACATACATCCTGACATCATATTTACAAAAGTGAGAAATCATGTACAAATCTACTTTAGAAGAGTTTCTTTTCTATCTCATCTCGACAGATATTTTTGTAATTGATGAAGTCACATCTTGTTTAGAAATATTATACTGAATTGATAGTCTGACGTTAATCCATTTAACGTCAATCCGTATCCTGTTGATCCGATTAAAAAGTATGGCTCTTAATCCGAATGAGTCAATGGCATGACACAAGAAAGCATTTCAAGGCAAACATATATATCGAAGTATGATACATTCAAAATAACATCTCATATACAAGATATCTGGCAATATCTATTACTGGAATATGTAATGTACAAAATGGTAATATATTAAACTCATCAACTATCTGACTCAATAATTGAATCGTTAACAAATCTTACTCCCTGTCATGTTACAGTACAAAATCCTGACAAGACACATGTTACAACTGCAAAAATGTTTAATTACAACTTCACTTTACAAAAGCATTCGACATTTACATACATACACAGCCTTTATACAAACGATATGTATGAAACACCTGTGACTCTTTCCATATAATAAATGCAGACGATACGCATGTCCATTTGTCACATATCTTTAAGCTTTACAAATATATACAAAGCAGGTACATTTTGTATGATTGTACATGTGCAACAACTGTAATGCGAGCCGTATATTAAATGTTATTTTTATATAATATTATTCAATCATCCAGTAACAGGTCGACAAAAACGTTGGCTCTTGTATCTTTGAAGTTATTTTAAGATTTATTATAAGAAGATACTTTGGCAGCGAAATATAGGCTAAAAGGGTGCTACTTAATCAAAACCGTACAAAATGCGAAAATGTACAGTCACAATGTCACAAATCTGCGATCATTTTTCTTGAATTTGGCTAATAATAGGTTCGTGCTTTCAAATAAAATCCACACTGCATCATAGTTTCCAAGTTGTAGTTTTTTTTTCTCACTTGCATATTCAATTCAATATTGAATTGCATCTTCAAATTACATATCGGTGCAATTCTTTTTCAATTTCATACATTCTGTATATTTTAATATCCAGAGTATATTACAAGTAGCATCCACGCTTAAGGCTACTCTGTTCTTTTGGAATGATTATCATTGTTCTCTTTTTCTCTTTACTTCTTACGGCTTGCTGGGGTACCTGATTAAAATGTATTATTAGTAGTCTATCCCAACGATGGTTGGGACGCATATCGTCTTCAAGTTATGACGAATACTGTCATATCTTTATACCCGGAGTAGTAGGAATGTGTGAGTCAGTGAACTGGTCTGTCATAATGTTTTTCCAATGGAAAATAAACAAAATAGTACAAGGTAAATTCATGTCAATACCTAAAGTTGCAACAGGGGGATAACCAGTGTTTTGAGATAAAATGGATTTGCAGTCTTAGAGTGATAATTACTTCAGCTGCAAATGAGTCAAGTTGTAGGCAGCACATTTGCCACCATGTCAGATAAATATCACATCAGCCTGTTATGACAAGGTATATTAAGGCTAAACAAACCAAATCCCTTGAAAACATGTGTACCATAAACTAATGGTGACAAGTCCCTTTCCTCACTATGACAGGCCACAGAGAGGTATTGTTAGACCGTAATCTAATCAAAAAGGAATCTAATAGTAGGGCACATCTCTTGAGCTCATTGAATCAGGCAACCGTCACTTTGACATTGGTGATGGGAAGTCCCCTTAGATCGTGTTACTGATGTGGAACTCCGTCATGTGGGTTTGGTCGGTCGCCTGTCTCGACCGGAAGGTGACAATCGTGCTCTCATTGTTCTTGCGTGACGCCAGACACTCCTGTAGGAACTTGTTGGCGTACTGGATGACGTTCTCGTTGAAGGCCACGTACACGCACGTGTTGATGGCGCTGTTGCCCATGGCCGTTGCCTCCACGGCGTAGAAGATGTTGGTGTTCATGGGGTTGTTGTCGAGGATGTCGTGAAAGTCCCTGATGGCCGTGCAGATGTAGTACGGGGCCCAGCACAGCACGAACATCACCAGCATCGCCACAAGGCGCAGCGTTTTCTTCTTGGAGCGTTGCAGCGTCGCCCGGTGGGCCTCCGTCACAACTCCCGGCGGCTCCCTGTGGAACACCTGCCACACCACGGCCAGGTAGCAGAACGCCATGATGAGGACCGGCAGGACGAACTGGAACACCAGCATGCTGCCAAAGTACCACTTGGAGGCCGTCTCCACCTTGACGTCCCACACCACCCCGCAGAAAAACTGCGTCTCGTTGGAGTAAGGCTGGATCTTGGAGAACTTGGCGGAGGGGATGGCGATCAGCATGGAGAACACCCACACACCAACGGACACCAAGATGGCGCTCTTCCGACCCATCCGCTGCCGGTTAGGATGGAGGATCATCATGTATCTGCAAAAGAAAAGAAAAAAAATATATCACCTTTAGGTCCTAGTAGCCGGATTAAATCGCTTTACGGATGCCGGCGGTCCAATATTCGGGGGGGGGGGGGCACTAAAGCCACGGACGGCAGAGTTTGCGTTACACAGACTAGATCCTAGTATCTGCAACAGAAAAGAAAAAGAAACAAAATGGTGACTCAACAGTTATCATAGTTTAACTTCAGTGAACATAACGTTTACCGGCATTAAGTATAGCACCGTCTGATATCTTACTGATGTTTTAAGTACAGATTCAAAATATCAAAGTATATTCCTCGCCTCTTTGTGCTGTTTGATTGATGAAATACCCGAAAATGGTTTCTTACATTGCTCGCGGTAGATCAGGTGTATTTTGACACTACCGGATTCTTTCTTTGACATTTAAATTGAGTTTGAAATGCTAACATTTGACAACACGTCTCCATGTTCTTTCTCTACATTTTGCTCCAAACATGATGAATTATGTTAGGAAGATAAATTATGACCATATTTTTTACGTTATGTAACAATTAATCATATATAGGTTGACGATCGCGAAGAAAGATGTTATATAATACGGGAACTATAGTTACGCGTAGGACTTAATGTCTGAGGAAACAACCTTCTTGACTTTCGCCCAAATTTTCTTTTATTGTAGACTTCCCAGCTTAAAGCCTATGAAAAGGTGATTACATATAGACGTCAGCAGCCTACATGTAAAAGGTATTGCTAGTGATCTTTAATCTCTCTATGGTGCAGTAAGAATGGTATCTAGTGGACCGAAACATCGACCGACTATCATCAGATCCTGTAACAAGTCATGTCATTTTGTTCATCCGGTTGGATAATCCTTCAAACCGCCGTTAATTCGTGTTATTTCCTACGGGACCCTTTGTTCACAATAATCGATATATGCCTTGGAGGTTTTGCTTAGGTAAGACCTGTATCATGCAGGTTTGAATCGCAATGAGTTTATTAACTTACGGTAGATAGTTGTTCAATGGGATTCGGGTTGTAATATGTATCAACGATTGTTTGTTGCAGAAAATCACTTTTTTTAAATTTTATGAGTGAAATAAATACTTCAAGTCATTGCTCCCAGTCAAATATCTTTTCCAATTTCTCATCTTTAGTGAAAATGAAAATGGTGTATTATTGGACGTTCCCGTCAGTCGTAGCCTCCATATATATATATATATGTAGCATGCCAAAAACCGGGGGTTTTGGGGGTCTTCAGGGTCCTTGGGAGCTTTAATGTGCTATTTTCTGATTGCATATAGACAACATAGCCGGCCTGGTTGAATTACCCCCGTTTTTTAGAACTGGGCTAATCAGAAAATAGCCGAAGACCACCAAACCCCCAGTTCTATAAACCTGCTACAGAGGCTACGTCATTCGATAGTTTCACAGTCAATTGACTGTACATAATGTAGCCACCGATCACAGCGTAACTTTATCTGACTATTAAACAAAACCTTTTTCCTACCTGTCAACTCCAATCACCAGCAGAGCGTCAGTGGACACGTAGAGGGACACCATCTTGACATAGTTGACCAGTCGGCACATGTGTGGTCCGTAGTTCCAGGCCCTCTCGTTGATGATGTAATAGTCCAGGTCGAAGGGGATACACAGCACGGCGACCACGAAGTCTGACAGCGCCAGGTTGGCTATGAGAAGGTTGGTCGTGGTCCGTGCCTTCTTGTATCTCCCCATAACGATGAGGAGTAGCAGGTTCCCCACGCCACAGCTGAGGATGATGAGGCTGTAGACAAGCCCGAGGATGACACGGAGCGGGATGGAGGCATGTTCTATCGTGTGCGCTTTTGTGATACCCTCCTGGCTGAGCACGTAGTAGATATCGTCGTAGAGCTCGGATAGGTCAATCTCTGTGATGTTCTCATCCATGGCTACGACCTGAAAAAAGTTCGTAACAGTCAGCCAGTCTGCAAAGCCTAAAAAGCTAAGCTAAATGCTAAAGCTAAATGCTAAAGCTAAATGCTAAAGCTAAATGCTAAAGCTAAATGCTAAAGCTAAATGCTAAAGCTAAATGCTAAAGCTAAAGCTAAATGCGAAAGCTAAATGTGAAAGCTAAATGCGAAAGCTAAATGCTAAAGATAAATGCTAAAGATAAATGCTAAAGATAAATGTGGATCCAAATAAAGTCAAAGTCAAAGGAGACAGGTTTGAGTTATCATCCAATCTCACTGAGTCTGTGTAAAACATGCTTCTGTTTTCTGTAATATCATGACCAGGAAACAGGGCTTATGGTACCGGTAGGCTGGCGGCTGTTTGAAAGCTGTGTAGGCCTCAACAAAGGCAATACGGATATTACACCAGCTCTACTGGCGTTCAGCCAGGTGATAGGACGTACAAGCGGAAGAAACGTTCTAAAAATACGGTTGACTAGGTTTAGTCACTGTTGTACCGGCGTAGCTAAATGGTAATTTAGTCATGGAAGTTAATGTAGAAATAATGATGCTTGGAGAATGCCAAGTACTGTTGCGTGAAAGTGTAGCGTCTGGTTTTGTCTCCTGAAGTTTAACAAGAAAAGGTTAATAGAACGCTGACGAAGACTGAGTGAGTCAGTCGTAAATTCCATTTTTTTAGTAGAAGAACAGTTTGACTTTTTCTAGGATGAACAACTTATTATGTAACAGACAAACTCATATGAACATGCTGGCATAATTGGAAAGGGTAGGCGTTGTCAGATAGAGCACATGAATTAGAGAAGTGATGGCGTTTTTGAGGATTTACATGAGCTGAAATTAGTCATAGCAAATCCTCACAAACGCCATCGCTTCTCTAATTCATGTGCTCTATCTGACAACGCCTACCCTTTCCAATTATGCCAGCATGTTCATATGAGTTTGTCTGTTACATATTGAGTTGTTCATCCGAGAAAAAGTTAAACTGTTCTTCAAATTTAAAAAAAATGGAATTTACGCATCACAAGGAGCGAATATCAACATCAAATTCCAGTTCTCCCGAATCCACCGATTTCGACTTGAAGAATTGCTGCACCATTTGGTAGGGACCTAAATATGTGGATACGCTGACAGTTAAGGGAGACTATGGTGTCAGCAGATATGGGTTTGTATGTCCTTGGTTCATACAATGAAGAACAATGTTGATAAACCGAGGGAAAGCCTGATTCATTTTCGTACCGTCACTACCTGAAATCCATACTATGAATAACCGTATATCCAAGTTACTGGGTATGGCTGATTCCATTAATTTGCCTTTTCGCACGTGTGAATTAGGCCCCGGGTAAGTATGAAAAAGGCGCGTGTCTCTTTTGTAGTTCTAAAGAGATTTGAGGTTACATGAGATATATTGGACACTTGGCGGATCGAAGAATCACTACGTATGAGATAGACTCAAAATAAATTCTGAAATAAAGACTAAACTTCAACTGCCAATACTGCAATGAATATTGGGACTTGCCTCAAATTTTCGGCTGACTTAAAGTTTAGTCTCCATGTCATAATGACTTGTACCAACACAGATGAACTTTCATGCTGAGTCAAAAGAAATTCATTTTCAAAATTTCCCAAAACACATCCAGGCTTGTTGCTAAATAGAGACCATTCTAACTGGTGACGTGTATGGCGGAAGAATGATATAATTATATATTCAATTGGACAAAACCAAGTATCAGAAAACATGCTAGCTGCAACTGTAGTTAAGCCTGGAACAAAACTTTTAATGTTAAACGCGTGTGTGATTTCAATTGTACTCCAAGGACTACAAAATTGCCAAATGACGGCAAGGCCAGAGGTGTTCCCAAGCTTGAGATGGCCCCAATGCAACGCAAACTCAAACTATAAGAAGTCTTCCTTCGTACACAAAAGGACTGAACTGAAAGGCAACAAGGCCAAGGACTGAACTGGATCCTAGAAGAAAAGGAAAGAAGGGAGGCCGGGACAACAAAAGATTTGAAATAATTAGTCACGAGAGACTTGGAATACGAGTTGAGTGAGTTACACTTGGGAGCGATTAAGCAAGCACTGGATAGCACACGTCTGTTGGAGAAGGCTTAGTCTATCGAACTTAGTTTTGAGGACAAAGCGAAGAATAAAAAATATGATGGCTTCAACTGTGGTAAAGCTTGGGCTAAAATATAAATGTGATTTCAAGAGTTGAGTTACACTTGGGAGCAATGAAGAAAGCACTGGATAGCACACGTTTGTTTTAGAAGGCTTAGTCTATCGAACTTAGTTTTGAGGACAAAGCGAAGAATAAAAAAAATATGCTGGCTTCAACTGTGGTAAAGGTTTGGCTAAAAATACAAATTTTATACGCGTGTGTGATTTCAAGGCACTTGTAGGAGTTGAGTTACACTTGGGAGTAATGAAGAAAGCACTTGATAGCATTACATTATCACTAATGGCGATTACCAAATAAATAAACAAACAAACAGACAGACTGACAAACAAACAAACAAGTACACGTCTGTTTGAGAAGGCTTAGTCTCGGAAACTTAGTTTTGGGGACAAAGCGAAGTATCAAAAATATATGCTAGCTTCAACTGTCGTAAAACTTGGGCTAAAATATAGATGTTAAACGCGTGTGTGATTTCAAGGGACTTGTAAGAGTTGAGTTACACCTGGGAGTAATGAAGCAAGCATAAAAAATATGCTGGCTTCAACTGTGGTAAAGGTTTGGCTAAAAATACAAATTTTAAACGCGTGTGTGATTTCAAGGCACTTGTAAGAGTTGAGTTACACTTGGGAGTAATGAAGAAAGCATAAAAATATATGCTAGCTTCAATTGTGGTAAAGCTTGGACTAAAAGTTAAGTAAACGCGCGTGTGATTTCAAGGGACTTGTAGGAGTTAAGTTAAACTTGGTAGCAATGAAGAAACCACTGGATAGCGGTGACCAGAAGGCAGTGGTGACCCGTATCTACGCCATACCAGGTAAAATAAAATACGGTGAGGAAGATTGCCCAGGGAGTTGGACACTCTCGGTTGGACTCATTACCGTCCTGTTTAACGCCAAGAGGCGTGTTACAGCGGCGGGGATGGGAATTGGGTCCCGCCGCCGCCATATCTCATGTTTATCGCTCACGCCACCTGTCACTGTGACGGAATCAGGACGCGCCAACCCGCCCGAGTGACATGCAGGGTGAAGCAAAATCAATGCTCTCATTAGTTAAGCGACTATCTTATCTAGTCCAGGTGGCCAGAAGAGCGGAAGATTACGATAATCATTCCTAATTTTTGAGTCAGGTAGATTCAAATGAATACAGCTGGAGATATCCGCATTAAATACAAAACAACTTCCTTCTTCCTTTCAATACGTAATTACTTTGCTTTAAAAACGACGTGAATCATTTAGAATTAGAGCACTTGTTCTTTTTCACTACGTCAGAGATCTACTGAAACGTTTGGCTTATTAAAAAGAAATTAAGGCTCTGAAAGATTGGAACGATACTACCCCCTTATCCGTAGTGATTTGTACGCAGGGCAGGGCTATCTATTCCGCTGTATATTAACTACTCGACCAAATGCCATGCTCCAAATATCACAGGTTAGGGGCCAGATGCACCGTCTGCTATAGAGAGTGTTTCACACACCGGGGAGCGTAAAACAGTCAACTGCAGAACCAGAGAAAGGTCAGTTGAAAGCACCAAGTCTTTACAGCTAAATGCCAAGAAGATGTTGCTATTCATATCTAAAAGGTGAAACTGATAATTGCCTAGATATAAATAGAAAGTACTGTTTCCAGTGACAGGTCCTAATACTACAGTTTACGATACAAACAGTCTTAGCAAAACTGTCAAAGGTATAACTATCCATTTCGTACTTATGCTGAGGTCACATTTCCAGACAAGGGCCCGGCCGTCCAGTCTTATGGAATGAAAAGTACGATATAAAAGACAAGGAAACAGAAAAGTTTTCGATAGAGCTCATGGGCACTATTTCTGTATATTCTTGATATGAATTGTTAGTTCTTCGTTCATACAAACAGCCCGGCCGAGCCCCGGTTTGTAAATGTAACCCCAGCATTATGTGCACTTCAAGAAAATGCCAACCAATTTACAGGAGGTAAGATACAGATGAACCTGTCAGCTGTCTCCACATCACAATGGACGGAGGAGACACATCCGTTTGTCCTAATAGCTCCCTGGGGAGCCATTATAGTCGGAAGTACAAGTGGTGAGCTCTGATTCCGCCACGACACATCCTGTTTAGAAAGAGCACGTCTGTCTACTAGTGACGCACAGGAAAAGTTACGCTGTTTCCGCTGGGAAAAGGCTTATGTAATTATCAAATGGCATTCCTACCTACGACTTTCATTTTAAGGATCTACAGGGAATGGCAGAAATATCCTGTAGTAACCCTTTGCTTCAGTAGAAATAGCAAAGTAATGTTTTATTTGATATATAAATGAAAGGACAGTGCCCATGGCATTCAAGCTAAATCAAGATGTCTGTCTAGGAGAATTTTAAAAGATGCATTTCGTTGGATGTACGTTTCAGATTTTTTTCCAACATGTAATCACCAAACGTGGTGACGACACACTCAAGTTTTTTCAACTTATATTAATGCCGCCACCAACACAGGGGACAATACAATACTCATTTTCACCTGAGCGAAGTGAGGAAAGTCGTGTAAAATGCCTTTCCCAAGGGCACAAGATCGGTGGCATGTTAGGACTCGAACCCGGGACTCTCAGTTCCGAGTCGCGCACTCTGCCACACGACCCCACATATCTTAGAGATACTATCTTACTATTTCCGATTAGAACGGCACTGAGGCATTTTCTGGCCGACAGCAATATGTCACGTAACGCGTAAGTGCCTTGATGGCATGGTCATACGCATTCAAAACTTGACTATCAACAGGTTGGCTGTTGGCGGATAGGATTTTTGTTACACAGCCAAAGTAACTCTTTCCTACC